GAAAGTTTAATCTTCTCCTGAGACTGAGGCTTTTGAAATCACTAAACTCTTGAATCAATTCCGTGAAACTTGTACTGAACACTGCCACCAATGGTTTCAGAGTTCAAAGCTCAAAAAAGAGAATGGCTCCCAAAGCTCTCCCCATTAAGAGCATGGACTCTTTACTTTCCCTTCTGTCTTATCTCCTCCGCCATCCTCTTCCCCTTCCTCAACACCTCAGCCAGTGGCTTGAATGAGCACGCTGATATTTATAACTTCATTAGTAGAAAAGAAAGGGTCTTCTAATTTCAGGAATTAGCACCTCTGAGACAAAATGATCTGCTTCTAATGTATACTCTCCAATAAAAGACCTTCCCTCTTCAGTCAGTTTCCATCTCAAAAATGGCAACTCTGGTAGCTTATGAACTGGCTTAGTCCTTTGTGGGACTAAGTGCATTAAGTTTAGGTAGGGAACACCTTGGCTTATAGATTTCAGACATTCACACCTTTTAAACAGTCTCTCACAGTCCTTATTTATGGTGCCAATAACATTTTTTTTCCCAAAGGTAAAATATTCTGGACATAGAAGCAAATCATTAGTTGTCTGTTCTTTCCATTGCTTCGCCATTTCCCCTAGCAGTCCCCAAATTTTAATCAAAATGATGCTACTCATCTCCCTTTCTCCCCTTCTTACTCCTCCCTCCCCCAAATAATACAGCAGTAATAGCCAAAAGTACACACATGCTATGCTGTAAAAATGCAGAGTTAACACTATTGGTAGGAAAGCTGTGGGTTATAGAGATGCTCTTTGAGGATCTACAGAATTTTTTTGCTCCCCCACACACCCAGTTTTGCAAGTTCTGTCCTTCATAGAAGGCCCTTTGCTTTTTCTCAGCGAAGTGTAGAAAAGGTTGCCTTGAAACACTTATCCCTCTTCCCTTCCACTGGGATGGGTGTGCAAGCTTGGAATGGCTTTAAAGCAGTTGGGCTGCTGCAGGGGGGCACAGTAACTATACTGGCTCTTCAAAGGACATCTTCTCAAGCCACCTCTATGGTATCAAGACAAGTAGAATGCCTTCCCTTCCCACCTGAAACCCACAGTCAGATGTGACAGGTGCTGGTACTCAAGAGAGTTAATTCTTGTCATCTCTTTTGTCATCATCCTCTGTGGAGTAGAAATGCCCACATCAGCCTTTCCTCGTAGAAGGATATGACAACCTGTGGGCATTTGACATTGACTTACTTGGCAGGAACCAGGTCAGCTTCATCCGAGTTTTTCTGTTTCATCAGGAACGTGAGCTCTCCACTGGAGTCTGTAGCTCTAATAATCTGCTCTGGTTCCAAACCCTGAGCAAAGCTTTGTGCCTTTTTTTTTTTTTTTTTGAGACAGAGTCTCGTTCCATCACCAGGCACCAGGCTGGAGTGCAATGGCACAACCTTGGCTCACTGCAACCTCCACCTCCCAGGTCCAAGCAACTCTTCTGCCTCAGCCTCCCAAGTAGCCGGGACTACAGGCGTGTGCCACCACGCCCAGCTAATTTTTGTACTTTTAGTAGAGACGGGGTTTCACCATGTTGGCCAGGATGGTCTTGATCTCTTGACCTCATGATCTGCCCTCCTTGGCCTCCCAAAGTGCTGGGATTACAGGCGTGAGCCACTGCGCCCGGCCGCCTCGTGGCTTTTCTGACTCTTCTTTCTTCTTCTTTGGTTTGCTCTTCTCTCCCTTATGTTCAGAATCAGAATCAGCTTTGCACTTGCCTCCCTCTGATTTATCTGCCTCATGTGCTATTTTCTGTGACTGCAGAAACTCATGAAGTTGGGGCAATCCAGGTTCTCTTCTGGCTCCCATGTGTTGTCCTCATCTGAGAACCCCTTCCACTTTAGGAGGTGCTCCACTTTGCCCTTTACCACTTGATAGTCGAGAACTTTTTCCGCCACATATTCCTGTTCCTCATCTTCTAGCACCTCCTCCGCTTTCTTCTTGTTCCCCCCCCAGCCTCCCCCATAGTGTGTGCCAACTTTCTGGTGTAACGGATGGTGCTGTTCAGAGCAGCGCCCAACAGCCGCAGAGGAATCGGTGCTGTGCTATTGGCACATCACGTCGGGTTGGATCGGCTAGGGGAGTGGCGCCCAGAAAAGCAGCAAGCTGGGTGGCCACAGTGGAGCCCTGGCCAATGGCCCTTCCCTCAGCCAAACAAAAGAGCCTGGCACTCTGTGCTGCCTGCCGCCCAGCACTGCCTTCATAATCTAGTAAGGGGTATCTATGACATGTAGGTACAGCAAACACCAACACTGTACCTTATGGTGAGCTAGTAAATGCTCCCATTTGAGATCAACAGAAGACAAGAATGCCCATTATCACCATTTAAATTCAACTTTTACAGTAGGTAATTCTAACTAGGTAAGACCGAAAAAACAAAAACATGGCAAAGGTACTGAAAAGAGGAAACAAAGCTGCTCTTAATATTTGTTTAATATGGTTGGCACAGTGGATACATCTGTAATCCCAACACTTTAAGAGGCCAAGGTAGGAAGATTGCTTGAGCCCAGGAGTTTGAGACTGCCATGTTATGATCATGCCACTGCACTCCAGCCTGGGCCACAGAGTGAGATCCTATCTCTTAAAAAAGTATATTTTTGATATAAGTGTGAGAGCCTCCCCCCCCACCAAAATGCTCTCAGAATTTAATGAGGAAACTAACCTATGCCAACTCTTACAATGAAAGACTCAGAATGAACAACAGACACATACATGTGATACTGTTTTGTTGATTGGAGCTCAGTTGTGAGAAACTGAAACAGGATTCCATATTAAATGGTCTCAGTCTGTTACTCCATTTCTTCTTCTTATTTGGGCCAATTTCTGATGAACCCCAATAAATGGTGTTGTAGGTGACATGCTTTTATCTAAAAGTGTATACATAAGTAGACCCACACATCATCTTTTACAAGAGCAGGGCATTTGTCTTTTTAAACAATTAAATCATGCAGAAGAACTTAGTGAGATTTGGATCAGGATCTAAATACTGTTTCTAACAACTCTCAAGGCAGTGAGTAGAGACAGTCACAGGGCTTACCTGGTTGGTTTCCTCTCTCTCAGGGGTCACTGTCTTTTGTTGCCTGATTTTCCAGTTCCTTGAAAACTGTTGTTTCATATTTTTTTCTATCTGTTTTTGATTGTTTTAAATGGGTGGTTAAATCTGCTCTCTGTTAACTTCATCTTGGCTGGAAGCAGAAGCCAATTTAATTAAATGGCTCATCATTTCTTGTATAGTCCTTTTTTTTTGTTAATAAAGAGTTGTTTTAACACACACACACACACACACACACACATTATTCTAATACAGTTGCTTGGCCTCTCTCTTAGAAGCTTGCACAGATTTTGTTTATTTTATTTTAATTAATTAATTAATTTTTGAGACGGGGCCTCATTCTGTGGCCCAGGCTGGAATGCAGTGGCAAAATCATGGATCACTGAAGCCTCAACTCCTGGGTTCAAGCGATCCTCCTATCTCAGCCTCCCCAGTAGCTGGGACTACAGGTATGTACTACCACACCTGGCTAATTTTTATATTTTTTGTAGATAAGGGGGTTCTTCATGTTGCCCATGCCTGTCTCAAACTCCTGAGCTCAAGGAATCTACCCACCTTGGCCTCCCAAAGTGCTGGGACTACAGCATGAGCCACCATGCCTGGCCTGTTTCATTTGTTTTGAAAGTAACTGTTACTTTTAGAGGCCCAATCTGTGAGGACCTAAAGAGTAAGAGCCCTGAGATGAATAATTCCTGAAGGCTTTCAGCATTCTCTCCTGCTGTGTGCTTTGTTACTGATGGCTGTTCAAGGTCTTACCACCTCTGGAGCTTTGACCCACTGATGTGTTTCATAAATTTTAATGAAAGACAGATTGAGAGAAATCATAGATAGGCCCACATGATTGTACCATATCCATGCACTGACTCAAAATGAAAATGTGATACTACCCTGAGTTACATTTGTGGAAAGCACCAAACTCTCTCTTCTAGCTTGTCTGATCCAGCCAGCTAAGGGAAATCAAAAGTAATTTGCAAAATCTTTTATGTTCTTGGTACATTGCTCTGATTTATTTTTTAAGGCACAGAAAATTGCCCAAATGCATACTACAAATTAGCAAATAAACTACATACATATAGTTATTTGGACCGTGGTGTTTTTCTAAGGAGTTTATAAAGAATATGGTTCAACTTGCCACTGTGTAATGCTAAACTTACTTCTTGTAGGTTATTATGAACTTTATTTATAATTTCATAGCAGCTGTTTATTTTCTTTGCTAAGATACAATTCAGATTGTCTTCGCTTAACTCAGTATAGTCTGTATCTCACAACATTTAAAGTTAGACTGATACTTTGTAAGATTCTTCAGATGTGGCCAGATTATTTTAGAAACAGCTTTAGTTATCCCTGATAATAAATATCAGGGAGAGAAAAAGAAATTGAGGTCTTTGAAGAATCCCTAAATATCATTTCAGTCCATCACTGTCGGCCTCCCCCACTGCTTTCAGATCCATTCCCAGGTACATTTACAGGGCAGCCAAGCTTCCTCATTTGGGTTCTAGCTCCTGAGCTTCTGTAGCGTACTCACTGAGCTAATGAGCAGTGTAGTGGCTGAGAGCTAGGGAGAAATATGAGAGAAATCAGAGATGACTCTTTCTGACTTTTGTCCTAGATTGTTTGAAACTAAGTAACATTAGAATAATGAAGAATTGAACACCTTTCCCATGCTGCATTCCAGGTGTCTTTTCCATACTGTTGTATTATGTCTTCTTAATCATAACAGCCTACCTAAATACTTTAGTTTGGGTTAGGATGAAAATGAAAAAGGGATTAAAAATAACATTTACTCTTTTTTCTTAAGCCTTCAGAAGGATTTAAAAAACTTAAAGATGTTAAATGCAAATGCCATTGCCATTCCAAGTTAACAAGTGTTGAGTTTTTTGTTGTTTATTTTTGGGGGTGATCCTTAACAGTATGTGTTTTTCTTTTCAGCTACTAAGTCAGGATTGTTACCCCCACCACCTGCGCTCCCTCCGAGACCTTGTCCATCACAGGTAGGAGACATATTTGATTTCTGTAAATTGTTTGGTGGTAGGGAAGTTGTCCTATTGCTGTGTTTCTTTGCAAGGGTTGATTGCTACAGATTTGGTCCGTGAGATTCCCAAGCTGATACCCTATGAAGAGAGCAGAGTGTGGTTTAATTCCTTCTCATCCAGCCAGCACCCCAGCCTCATGTGGAAGAGAGAAAGTTTCCTCAATAAGCCACCAAGCACACATATACTAGTTCACTCTTGGCTGTCCAGGGGTGCATCTGTTTTCATCCAGAGAGAAGAGTAGAAGAAGGGGTCTCTCTCTAATTGGAGGTGGGGACATGGTTTTTCTGTATAGTATGTACAGTCTAGGTGCCTATATTTTCATCAGCACTTTAGGAGCTGTGTTAATTCTACATAAATTTAAAAAAATGGTTATCAACATGGGGTTAGTGCCATGATTTTGGCCTATGGTGCTTTCTTTAGGATGTTATTTTTCCTCGGAACAAAAAGCTGAAATAGCAGGAGTGGGAGATCATGTCACTAAGATCTGTTTCAACTCTAAATTAATTCTGCCTTATTTACATGTGCTACTATGGCCTTATTCATCAACACTTTGCAGAGCTGAAAATGAGAAGCAAATAGCAAGTCCATGGAGCATGATATATGGTGCTACAGATCTTTCCTTTTGTTAATTGCTGCTGAAGAGACTTTCTATCGTTAAAGACCTTTTCTGATTTTTGGCAGAAAATGTTGAGAAATTTCTCTGTAGATAGTCCCTGGTTCTACTTCATTGTTCTGGGTGGTTCAGAGCTATCCTTCCATATGGGGACATCTCAGGACTCATGAGTCAATGAAACTACTTTTAACACATGCTTGTCCTTTCAGAGAATGGAATGGTTTTTAGCATCCACTCAACCTTGAGATGCAAATACAATGAGGTATTGGCTTTCTGCTTTAGTGTGAAAGGTAATAAAAAGCCCGTTTCTTCCTGACCTGCATATAAACCAGTGAAATCTCCTTTTTCAGGATCTGACACTGGCCTTAAGAGATATTAGTTGAACTGTCAACGAATATTTATTGAGTCCCTGCTGTATATCTAATGCCAAACCTTAGTTTTCCCCTAAGTCTTTCCTTGGCTGTAATTTTCTCATTCAAATTATTAGCTATGTTTATTGAGCATCTATAATAAACCAGGCATTGTGCTAAGTGCTTTCAGTGCACTATTTAAACCTCAGAAAACCCCTCTGAGGTAGATACAGGTACTAATACTATCCTTTTTTACAGATAAAGAAGTTGAAGTATACAGGGGCTAAGCAAGTTACCCAAGGTGGCATAGCTAGTAAATAGTAGAGCCAGATCCCAAATTGCAGTCTGTCTCCTAAAGGCCCCTCCCGTCCTCATCACTGAAGCCTAAGTGTCTATGTATACAGCCAGACAGCAGATCCATTGCACTTGCAATGGAGGCTTTCATCACAGGCCCCTAAGGAGGACCTTGATGAGATGAAGCTCCTGCTCTGCACCAACAGCAAACCTGGACTTGGTCACAACTAAACGAGGAGGCATTTGCTAGCTGCTAGTTCAAGCCTGGGGTTTGAGGGTCACCTGGTCGAATGCATGGAAGACCTGTCTGAAAGGGCTTTTGTAACCAAACTCCTAACTTGCTCTTGCTACACAAATGCCAGTAAGTCCCAAAATATGCTGCTGCTCTCAGGAGTCTTACCTGAGCAGCTTGAGGTGAGCCTCTTGCCTGCTTTTAGAGCTTAGTCACCAAAGATATGACGAAGGGACTGGGAATTCTCTAGTTACTGTTGATGAATGAGTCTGCTTCTTCGTCTATCAGATTTCCCATCACAGTATAAACAGTGAGCCCAGTTCTCAGCCCAAGCCTCCAGCTCAGCTGCCTAACTATGGAGATTTCAGATTTTTAGAAAATCCACATTCCATTTATCTCCCCCATTCCCTCCTTTTTCCCACTGTAAGTGGGACACACACATTCAAATATATGAAGTCCTGGACAATACACACATGGTTATATTTAGTTTTTGTGTGATATCAAGTTGACATTGACCCTAGGAGAATCTTACTAACCACTTGTATGGGACACGTATATATTCTAGTCTTTCCCAAACTGCTTGTGATAAAACAGTCTCTGGGAGGTATTAATAGGACTCTGTGATACAAATTTGCAGGGTGCTGCCCCTCTACCCCCTTTGGGAGAGTCACTGTGCAAGTGAGCTCACTAAAGGCTTTGAAGGCCTACAGTAAGGAAAGCTGGTAAATTTTATTAAAGCCAGCAATTTCCTAGCTTTTATGACCATTGATATCTTTATTTATAAAATACATATTAGGATACAAAATCAATGTGCAAAAATCACAAGCATTCCTTTACACCAAGAATAGACAAGCAGAGAGCCAAATAATGAATGAACTCTAATTCACAATCACTACAAAGATAATAAAAAAAATCTAGGAATACAGCTAACAAGGGATATGAAGGACCTCTTCAAGGAGAACTACAAACCACTGCTCAAGGAAATTAGAGAGGACACAAACAAATGGAAAAACATTCCATTCTCATGTATAGGAAGAATCAATATCATGAAAATGGCCATATTGCCCAAAGTAATTTATAGATTCAATGCTATTCCCATTAAACTACCATTGACATTCTTCACAGAATTAGAAAAAACTATTTTAAATTTCATGTGGAATCAAAGAAGACCTTGTATAGCCAAGACAATCCTAAGCAAGAAGAACAAAGCTGGAGGCATCATGCTACCTGACTTCAAACTATATTACAAAGCTACAGTAATCAAAACAGCATGGTACTGGTACCAAAATAGAGATATAGACCAATGGAACAGAACAGAGGCCTCGGAGGCAATGCGACACATCTACAACCATCTGATCTTTGACAAACTTGACAAAAACAAGCAATGGGGAAAGGATCTCCTATTCAGTAAATGGTGCTGGGAAAACTGGCTAGCCATATGCAGAAAGCTGAAACTGGACCCCTTTCTTACATTTTATACAAAAATTAACTCAAGATGGATTAAAGACTTAATGGTAAAACCCCAAAACCATAAAAACCCTAGAAGAAAACCTAGGCAATACCATTCAGGATGTAGGCATGGGCAAAGACTTCATGACAAAAACCCCAAAAGCAATTGCAGCAAAAGCCAAAATTGACAAATGGTATCTAATTAAACTAAAGAGCTTCTGCATAGCAGAAGAAACTATCATTAGAATGAACAGGCAACCTACAGAATGGGAGAAAGTTTTTGCAGTCTACCCATCTGACAAAGGTCTAATATTCTGAATTTACAAGGATCTTAAACATATTTACAAGAAAAAAACCCATGAAAAGGTAGGCGAAGGATGTAAACAGATACTTCTCAAAAGAAGACATGTATGCAGCCAACAAACATATGTAAAAAAGCTCATCATCACAGATCATCAGAGAAATGCAAATCAAAACCACAATGAGATACAATCTCATGCCAGTCAGAATGGCAATTATTAAAAAGTCAGGAAACAATAGAAGTTGGTGAGGCTGTGGAGAAACAGGAACACTTTTACACTGTTGGTGGGAATGTAAATTAGTTCACCTATTGTGGAATACAGTATGGCAATTCCTCAAGGATCTAGAACCAGAAATACCATTTGACCCAGTAATCCCATTGCTAGGCATGTACCCAGAGGAACATAAATCATCCTACTATAAAGACACATGCACATGTATGCTTATTGTAGCACTGTCTACAATAGCAAAGATATGGAATGAACCCAAATGTCCGTCAGTGATAGACTGGATAAAGAAAATGTACTGACACAAGAACAGAAAACCAAACACTGCATGTTTTCACTCATTAAGTGGGTGTTGAACAATGAGAACACATGGACACAGGGAGGGGAACATCACACACTGGGGCCTGTTGGGGGCTTTGCGGGGGCAAGGGGAGGGATGGCAGGGGGTGGGGGGATTGGTGAGGGATAACATTAGGAGAAATACCTAACGTAGGTGACAGGGGGATGGATGCAGAAAACCACCATGGGATGTGTATACCTATGTAACAATGCTGCATGACCTGCACATGTACCCCAGAACTTAAAGTATAATAATAAAAAAGAAAATGTGGTAGATATATACCATGGAATGCTATGCAGCCATTAAAAGGAATGAGGTCATATCCTTTGCAGGGCATGGATGAAGCTGGAAGCCGTCATCCTCAGCAAACTAACACGGGAACAGAAAACCAAATACCACGTGTTCTCACTCATAAGTGGGAGTTGAACACTGAGAACACATGGATACAGTGAAGGGAACAACATACACCACAGCCTGTTGAGGGGTGGGGGGATGAGGGGAGGGAACGTAGAGGGTGGGTCAGTAGGTGCAGCAAACCACCATGGCACACATATACCTACGTTACAAATATGCACGTTCTGCACATGTATCCCATTTTTTTAAATAAAAGAAAATTTAAAAATCTGTATAACAAACCCTATGTAACAAACCCGCACATGTACCTCTGAACTTAAAAGGTGTTTTATAAAATGTTAATAAATAATATACCTGTTAATATCCTGAGGGCTTAATGGTTAGGAAACAGTTATATACCAGTCTTAAGGTATTGCTAAGAACATTTCCAAACCTTTCTCATCTGTCACCTTATCTCTGTATTATATGGTTAAAGTTAAATTTTATATCTTATGCAATAGTTTTCCTTAGAAAAATTGAACATGAGAGTTTACAGCACATTAACTTGTGATTTCACATTGTCCATGTTTTCAGTTTGACCTGTTTTCTTCCTCGCTTTTCTGTTCCTTCTCACTTACTCTCTCATGAGGTCATTTTTACCACCCCACAGCAAGTTTTATTAGAACTTAAACACTGAATTCTTACTTTGCTCTGTTAAATTCTTTGAATGTTCCTTGCTATGTGAAGCCCATCAGCCTGACTTTGGAAATATGTCTATATCTATATCTACAAAGACTTCTTTTATTGGACTGTATATAGT